TTTCGAAGCGCCAATCAGATCTCGTTTTTATTTATCGACCCGACCCCTCGCGGTATAGTGAGCGCGCCTTGCGGTCGCATTGCGTTGGAGCAATAAAAAGCGAGGCCGAGGTGTAGTAAAACAAAGATGAACTTTAAATGTGTGGAATAAAAATATTTGATGTAGTGATTTATCGGAACAGCATACAAAAACCAAGACAATGGGCGATGTGACGTGGCAGCACCAGAAACGTTTCCGAATTCGGGGCCGCGAAGTCGCGAGGGCGCGAGGAAGGTCGGGCCGTCCACGACGGAACCAGAGAGACTAGAGAACATGCTATTCCATCGAGCCTTGCGACAAGGCGTGAGACGATATCTCCATGGGACGGGTACTGCAGCGGTAGCAGTTGACGGTACCGAGTAGTAGACTGAGTTCTATGCAGAAGTCCGGGCGACGGTGTCGGAGGGACAACCTAGAATAGCTCGCCGTGTCAGCCGACATGCACCCGTGATGCGTCAACTGTTGCTTCTAGCACTAAAAAGGGCCACCGTTTGAGACTACTCAGCGTCGAGACAATAATGACACGCGACTGGATTCGGCGACGCGGGCCTACTTTTAATAAAATACTACTCTAAGCTCACAAGCTCGTGCTGGTCGTGTGCGTGTACTCGGGCACACAGCTTATGTGGACGTCGGCCTTGATTGCTTGGATCGTCTCGAGGCAGCGATTGATCTTCTTGAGCATCTCGTAGATGCGCGGGTCGGCGAGCCCGTGCTCCGGGTCGTCGCCTGCGTTCTCCTCGTCGTCGGTGGCGTCGTTGGACGAGGCCACCGACGCCAGCTCGTCCGGCCGCATGCTAATCAGGATTGTGTGGGTCATGCTCTCGCTGGCGTCGGCGCGCCGCACGGTCGGCGGGTCATCGGCATCCGGAGTGTCGGCGAGCGACCGCTTGGACGACGCTTTCTTTGGGTGTAGAGGCGGCGGCTGGTAAATGGGATCGCGCGGCTCGCTGGAGGCGAAGAGACGGCCGATGAGCGAGACGCGGCGGCGCTGGACCTCGTGCGACTGCGGCAAGGCGGCCTTGGCCAGCGGCGACCGGTTCAGCGAGAACTGCGAGCTGAAGCGGGCGAGCGACATGCAATCGCGGAATGGAGCGGCGATAGAGAGCCGTCGCCGCCGCTTGCATTACACGTGCGATCGAGTCGGAGCCCAGCTGGTGCCGCAGGCTGCCACCTCACCACTTGGCACCTGTGTTTCCGACGTTTTTCACGTGTAAAACCACAAAACCGCCCGATATCGCTGCTTCTGTCCTCGCCATGCATGGTACGAGTACATAGCTGCGGCGGGCCGCCGCGGGGCATGCACTGCATTGAATGCGGGTGCGACTCCGTGCATTGTAGCCATAGTTTGCACGCAACGATGGACAGAAAGGTTGATGCAAGTGCCCGCGCAAGGATAATCACGCGCGGATACCGGGTACAATGTAAAGTACAGTGGTATGACTTGCTGCAGAAGTCGTTTCGACGAGCAATTCGCTTCGTCGGCCTTGAACTCGTTTAACGAAGCAGTAATTTAGTGCATACCGCCGGATGGAATGCATGAAAGCGATTGAGGGACAAGACATTAAACACGCATAAAACACACGTTTTTCACGTGTGACCAAGTCGCCACACACCATTTGGCAAGAAAAGAACCGGGACATGCGAGGAGACTTGCCGTTGCCGCCGCCGGATGACGTTTGGAGGTCCTCACCACGGACCCTCGGTGGGCTCCATGGGTGGGCTCGTGCGGTGGGCTAGCGTAATTCGGAGAGTTCTCGTGACTGGTGTGCCCTTGTAGCAATACCAGAGAACACAGAGGTGATCAGAGAACGGGAAATCTCCAATTTAAAATGGGATTACTTTGGGCTGCTTGTAAGTCTACTGGATTCGGATCGCGCGCCCTTGGCACGTCGACGAATGGCGTCGTTGTGGACATGCGGCTGTGCTTGGCAGCTATGGTTGATGGTGTGATGGCGTAGAGTCTGCGTGTAACAACGAGCTGCTGTCCTTTCAGCGCAGTTGGCAAACGATGACGTACTGGGCGACTGCCATGAGCGTCAGCGGCTGGAGGCGCTCCAGGTCGAGCTCAACTTCGTCGTAGCTGCAGTTGGCGACGTGCGATGGCTCGTACTGCGCGACGAGGGTCAAGAGGCCTTCGAGCGCATCGCTCGAGAGCATGGTGATCTGGCTCACAAGGCCGGCGAGGGCGTCGTGCGTTGGGCGGTAGCTGCGCATTGTCGAGAAAAGTGTTGTCGAAGGCGTCAAGGTGGTGGCGCACGCAAGCATTTGTTGGTTTCTGCACTTGAAGGCAAATTGAAATCTGAGAGCGCAGGGGCAATCTCAAATCTGCAGCAAATCACCCAGGTGCATCGAATGATGGTCGATCCGATGCGTGAGTGATGGTCTCCGACTTCCATGAACGTTCCGCCTCCAGCCTCGAGCGACGACGGTCCGAGTGTTGTAGATCGCAACGACGACGATGTAGGTCAGGACGACGTTGGGTTGTCGCGATTCGTGCTGTCGATCGAGGCGCCTTTCTGCCATACATAAATTATCTAACATTATTTGAGGAATTGCTCGAAACAAGAAAATAGTTGTTTGGTGGTCGCGCTCGTGAGCAAGCTTAGCGCGAGTAGAGCTTGCACGTCGTCGTCGGACATGAATGAAGTGTTATCCTGTCGGAGCTACAATCAGAGCGGTCAACGTGGATTTGAACGTGCGCGATCGCTCAGACTCAAGTCTATGGACGCAACGACACTGATGTAAGCGGACGCAGCTGGGATCGTTGATGGCGGGTCCAAGCTGTACGACTTTGCGGATCTCTGTGCTAGTCATTCAATGCTATCGAGCTCTTGACAAGTATGACACGGCGAGGAAAAATAGCATTTCTAGAGGCTTCTCTGGCTGCTGGTTTCGTACCATACATGTACTTTATTGTAGGTACGACCAAACGAGAGACTGCCATTGCGTTCTTGTCAAAACATATGGCCTTCACGCCGCCGTCGTGCAGATCCGTTGCTGCTTTTCGCGCTCGTGTATCAATTCCGTTTTGAAGATTTCTTTGACTCACCAAAATAGAGCAAATTCAAGGCGTTGCAACCGCCTTGCTATTTCCACAAACGTTCATGCTGGGTCGCTCGATCGCAGTGGCCCCCTCGGCGCGATTGGTCGAGCACGTGGCGCCGTCGCGGTCCCAGTGGGCGCTTGCAGCGGCTGGTGTTGTCTACCTCGTCGCCTCGCTCAGCGTCGGTCTTTGGTATCTCTCACTTCTCTCACCAAGTCTATCCAATGATCTGTGGTGGGCCGGCTTCACGGCGACGGGTGGCGAAGCCTTGCTCATCGACCTCGTCAACACCGAGCTGGCGCTTGTCGCGACATCAGCCTTGAACATTTACGCTGCCGATGCGACGATGTACAAGCTCTACAATGCATCGACAGCCGCCACGTCCGTTCTGCCCACCTACGCCCGCCGCGCCATCTTGAGCGAGCTCACGTCGATCGAGTACGCCGTGCCACAGCTCCGGACCGTGTCCGGGTCCTGGTCGATGCGCATCAACGTGCAGCACTGCTGGGTCGACTTTAACAAATCGTTTGAGGTTGCCCACACAACCACTCGTCAGGAGCGCTGCGAACGGTCCTTTGCGACCAACGGCGCCGTCTACATGGAAGCCATTTTGCGCAACGTGGTCTGGGCCGACTTTATTTCGATTTGGGGCGGCGACGACGCGCCGTTTACGGTCGCCGTGCAACGAGCCCTGGAAGAAACCGCGACAGGACAAGCCTTTTTGAGTCATGTCTCGCAAGCCCGCAATACGACAACAATCAGTGACGAGCTTCTTTACTGGCGCCAGTACAACTTGGATCGGTTCCAGCTGCAGTGGCAGAACCGGTGGCAAGTAGGCATCACGGAAAGCATCCTCCTGGAGAATGCAATCGGCATGCAGCAGCTTGTGACGATTAAGAACCTCCCGCGGCTCACAGGACCCTGGACATCCCTTCGTCTCTTTTGGATACCTCTCAACGACCTCTGGAACCTCCACGACATGAACCGAAGCCTCGTGCGCGGGTCGTCGCGCGATTTCCGCGCCAATGTTTCGGCCGCGCTCCCCGCCATGGACCTCGAAGTGTACATTGGGGAAACGTCGGTCTCGGGGCAGTTCTTCAACCAAGCCGCGCTCTTTCGAAGTACCGTGGGTCCGTTTGAAAGCATCGATCTTGTCTACTTTGCTGTACCACCGGCAATTGTTCACGCCTTCTTGGCACTACGTCGACGTCTCGCAGGGAACGACCTCTTGACCGCGCTGCCGAGAAGCTCGGTGGGGTTGACACCGCTCGGATGGCGGTCGTTTGCCTTCTATGGCGGTGATCCTACCTGCACGGCGCTGCCGCAAACGACGTATGTGCAGCACTCGTTTGATTTCTTTTACGATTGTTCCAAGCCCAAGCCACTCACACTCGTATTCGATCCGTTGGTGGTCGTGCTCGCTCGAGCCGCCACAGCAAGTCCGTCCATCGGGGACATTTGCGTCGTGGCCTCGCCGACAACAGCTTGCGTTGCTGCCATCACAGCTGCCGACCAGCTCTTGGAGTCCCTCGCCTCACCGCCGGTCTGGAATGCATCGATTGCGAGTGAGGTTGGTCTCGAGATTGGCTTGATGCAGTACGCTGCTGCCACCAATGGCTCGTGGGTCGTCCTCAAACAAGCTCTGCTCGAGCCCTCGTTTGCGTTCTTTGGCTGGGTCTTTCTCTTTGATTGGGTCCTCGGCAATCGCGAAGTCGTCTCATTCCAAGGCGACAACGGCAATCTGACGCTCATCTCCAACGTCTATACCCCGCAGCTCTACACGACGGGGACGCAGCCGCTGCAGTCTGCCACGCAGATTCTCTACTACCTTGTGGTCGCCACCTCGGTGATTCTTGTCAGCGTTGGTGGGATTGTCTTGGTGTATGCGGTCAAGACGCAGTTTCGGTTCAACGGTGTGAACCTCTTCTTCTTCAACCGGATCGTGGGGGCTGTCTGGCTTGGTCGCCCATTGGCTTTTCTACGAGGCGCGTCGGCCGTCGTACTATTGAGCTCGGCCAACGCGTCGCTTCTGACGTCGTCTGCTGGTGTATCGCGGTTTATCGCGACGCCTCGGAGTTGGATTGAAGCTGTGATCGTGACGGGCGAGGCAACCTGGCTCACCTACGTGGCGAATGATATTCTGGTGCTACTGACTCGAGATGGCACCAACGAGTACAGCTCCATGGCGAGTCTGCTTTCGTGGCTGATCCTGCTCGCACTGGATATAGCACATCCGATTGTGATCTCTGGAGACTTGCAACGACAGTGCACCGGCGTTGAGCTGGACTACGGCCTCGCATGCACGAGCGGCGTCGTTTCCACGGGCAGCAGCACCCGCGTGGCCACGATTCTCCTCGTTCAAGTAGGTGCTTTTAGTGTCGCGTCCGTAGCTGGCAGCTTAAAGCGCCGGCCGCGATCCGCCAAGGCCAAGAACGTGGAGGCTTCGCTGCTCGTGAACGGTATAACACAGGCGTTTGTACGAACCGCGCAGGGCACAACCGATGCGCGGTACGTCTTGGACCACGTGGCCTGCGTGCTCGCGGGCTTGCTACCCATTACCTACAAGGGCATTAGCTACACCTTTGACGTCAAGCTCTGGCTGCTTCTTAAAGACACCCTCTCCACGACACAACGGACCAAGGTGCTTCGACGACCAGCGCTAGCGCGTCGCGCGGCACCGTCGGGGCCTTTGTTTGTAGCCCCCCACGCCAACGACGTCCACAGTGATGGCCATCGACGAGCACGAGCGCAGACACTTTTGTACAAACTCGTCGGGCTTGGCTACATTGTGTCGTCGATCCTTGGCTCTGTCTCGTACCTCAACGTCTCAAAAGTCAACTTGGCGAATGATGTCTTTTGGGCCACCTTCAACACCACGGGTGCCCACGCCTTCCTCGCCAACTGGCTCAACGAACAACTCGTCATTGGCAATACCACCATGCATGACCTACCCCTCGACCGACCCAGTATCAACGCCATGGCATCCTTTGCGTCATCGACAGCTCTTGTTGCGTCGCCTCAAAACTATGGCGCCTACCTCCAGCACACGCTACTGAGCTCGATCGAGGCGACGATTGAAGGACTGAGACGCTCGAATGGGTGTGACTCACCCTGGATCTTCTCTCCGTACTGCTATCTCGACCTGAAGAGGTCGTGGACGATGGCCAACTCGGCCAAGCGCCAAGCGAGATGCGACGCGAGCATGACGACCAACGGCGCCGTGTACTTGGAGACCGTTCTGCGCAACGTGGATTTCGGCAGCTTTCAGAACTGCTGGGGCACGGGCTTTGACATTGGTATCGGTGCCGAGCTCAAGTTGTCGTCGGAAGGTCGCAACTGGCTGGACATGGTCTCGAGCACGACATCACAGTTGAGTACAAGTGACGAAGCTGTGTACTGGCGGTCGTTTGGCCTCACAACGTATCAAACACAGTGGCAAAACTACAAGAAACTCGGAGTTCGCAACAGCTATTCGATCAT